CTTAATTGAAAAATAAAATATTTGTTTCAAAATAGAATATATGACAATATTTAAATATAATATATCCTAGACTGACAAATCATCTCCGTTCAAAATCGTTTTTCGTATACAATGATACCTATCATTGCATTCAAATTTAATCCCATCCATTACAGTAACCTACTGTAAAGCAGAGCGACATCCACGACTTACCTGCTTTTTTTTTATTTGTATTTTACAAAAAAAAAAAAATTAATCATTTACTGATACATAACTATAAGTATACACTATATGGTAATTTATGAAAGTATTTTCATTTACGAAACATAATTTTTACTATTATAGTCTAACATTTAATAATGTTTAATTATATATATTTTTTTTTGATTCCTTAGTGGCCAATAGATAGTTAAATATATTTGGATGATTCAAAGTTTAAGTCAACACACAATAATACAATAATTGGTGATTCACCAAGCATGCTCACACTCCTTTTTTTCATTATTAATGCAGTTATTTAAAATCTGATTTATAAAATATTTGAACATACTCGAAGACCATATTTTCTAATTCTTGACATTTTTTTGTACCATTTAAGATGTCTCCAGTGGGGATATAAACTCTTGGTTTTTAAATTAGGCCCCCATTTTTTTACTGTAAATTATTTAGCTGAAATTTTTTTTGAGAATTTTAAAGTTATTGAAATCGAAATTCTAATGAGCAGTTTTTGAGTTATTTAACTTTGTGTTCTAAGGATAAAAGGTCCATGGTCTAGGACTCAAGGTTTATAAGATATGTGGTCTATGGTGGATTTTAAAATATTAGTCGTTAATATTAATCTATCAAAATAAATAATTTGTAAAAACGATCTTAGAATCATTAATACTAGTTCCAATAGTACATGTATTTTATACTTTTGTAAAACGATTTTTAAGGATAATTTATTATACTTATTAAAAACATTTTAATAACTACGAAACTATTCATTCGAATTTTTAATTAGGTACCTACATCAAAATTTAAAATATTAAGATCTTCTAAATAATTTACAGTAAAATAGGGGGGTTATCATTTGAAAAACAGAAGTTTGGATCGCCACAAGACACTCTTTAAGTATAGCATAAAAAATTTCAAGAATTTAAAAATATGGTCTTTGAGTATATTTGAAAATTTCGAAAATTATAATTTAAATAAATTCATTGTTAAAGGAAAAAATAGGGGTAAACATGCTTAATGAATCACCTGAATAATTATAGAATTAATATAACAATATTATGATGAATAACGTTGTATTAATATGATGTTGTTGTTTTTAAATCTCATACAATTCATTTGATATGTTAAGAATTTAATAACCTATTATATATAAAAACAAATTTTCCATTTATTACAGTAACCCACTTGTAACCTACTGTAGAACAGAGACATTCACGACTTACCCGCTTTTTTTTTAAATAACAACAATTTTTAAAGTTTTCTTTAAAAATGATTTATCATTGCAGGTTTCTTTTTTAGATTTAATTTTAAAATATTTCATTTGTTTGATATCCTTTTTAATTTGTTACTATGATTTGAATTTATTTTTGTTTTATGTGTCAAACGTCTAGTCCTTAATAAAGAATAATAGTTATTCATCAAATTTTAAAGGTCAAAAAACAGATTGTAAATAAAAATAAAAAATTTAATCTAAAACATAGAGTAGGTATTCAGTAAACGATATTTACAACTCTAGATAAAATCGGTGCCTAAATCTTTTCATTTGATATTATACAGCAGAATGCGTATTTTAATAACCATACACAGAACAAAGTCGGGTATTTTATTGCATTCTTTAATAACTTACTCTGTTACTCATAAGTCATGACTGATTTACGAATCTTGTCTTTTTTACAAATAAATAATAAAGTTATTTAGTTATTTCTAGAACAAATTATGTTCTACATTTCTAAAAAAAAAAAGTTATAATAATATTAGAGTTTGATTATAACATATTTATTTAACACGATGTCATTATCTATGGCTATGGTTAATATTAAAATATCATACTCAAATTTATAAAATACAATGTATTGATGAATATAATTAGGTMAATAATTGAGATTTATATTACAGAAAATTAAAGTCAATACTATTGATTCAATAAAAAATTTTATGTTACAGAAACATTACCCAAGTGAAAAGGATAATGATAAAAAAGTAGGTAAATTTAATACTATAAATGACTTTAAAATATATTTTTCTAGTATTGATTTTTCTGTCTTATACTCTTATATACTTAATATAATATATATACCTATTATATTGAACTATGTTTGGTCAGTGAATAAAATTAGAGAAATAAACTCTTTTGTTTTAAATTCATCATGTTCTTATTATTATTAAACAACTTTCATTTAAGCTTATGTGTAGGTATATACAGTGTTTTTTCAATAGATCACTTTAGTTTGTATTTTACAATAATAATTTTTTCCAAACAATCAGACAGTTATTGGAACATTCAACTATTTATTGGTCATGCCCAATTTTACTTTTGTGTATACAAATACGCATTACAAATATACATATTCATTCATTGTAAAATAAACATAAAATCCTGCGGGATTTAGTGCTCCCCTAACGGTTTGTTTAATTACACGCTAGTTATAATTCAAATAACAATTCACATGACCATCCTACGTGGCTGCTATACGTGTTCCATATTGAAATAGTTTTTTAATTGAAAATAACAAAATAAAATGACCCTAATATATTATAATAATCATTATTGTTTACGCTTAATATCGAATACATATATATATATTATACGTTATTATTGTATGTAATATGTATATATATATTACAAACAATAATTTCAAGTCTTTAAAAAAATATAGAAGAGTAAAGCAAGTGTTCTAACTCCATCTTTGAAACCAAAAGTCTTTAGATTGATTATTCAATAATTTTTACAGATAACTATTTAATATACTGATTGGTTTAATGTTAAATTATTGTAAACTGCGTGTAGGTACATACCTTATAGATAAAATTCTTAAAATTAAACCAATCTGTTTAATAAATTTAAAAAATAAAAATTGTGTATATTAAGTGTGACTAATGGCCTTTGTTGCTGATATCAAATATGTTCAATATAAAAAAAAAATTCCATGTAAGAATAGATAGACAAAAACTAAAAATAACTGTAGTACATGTTTTTATAATAAATTTTAAAACCATTATATTATATTATTATACAGGTAAATTTTACAGGTACATTACAATGTTATAAGTATTATACGTTATACCTATATAAGCAAATAAGTTTTAAAAATTCATCGTTGACTGTAAAATTACCTCTGAATTTCGTTTATCAGAATTTCATATTTATTTTTAACAAACCTAATTTTCTATTGATATGATTATTGTATCCAAATCACATTGTATCGGTGATTTAAATTATAATATTTAAACATGTGGTTAGTATATTCAGTGAGAATCTAAGAATAATTTTAACTGGATACATGGTAAATCATCTTAGGTTAAAACGAACTTAGATTCTTTGGTTGTTTCTGACAGATTTAATTGTTTTTAATTCTATAGTATCTACTTTTCAACTTCCTATCGTATAATTTAATATAACTTATAAGTAGGAATGCGTACTATGCCGCATAGTAGTGATCATCGATTTAAGTATCTTTACTTTTAACAGATATTATTAMTCGGATCTACTTCTAAAACTTTAAATAAAAACAATTGAAATTGAATGAGATTAAATAATATCTTGGAGAAACTATTCATATTTAACATAAAACAGCACTAATAATAACAATATCTCATTGGTTTGTATAAAATATAAAATAAAATGTTATTACTTCCACGCTTATACTATTTTAAGAGTACTTCATTACTTTTGCAATTTTTTAATAATGTGGTATATTTAATATAACATTCGAATGCCTACGAATGATATAACTTAAATTGTATTAGATAATATTTTTTAGATAATTAATATAAAAACTAAATATTATTTAAGATAATAATAATATTATCGTATCTTGTTGATACTACCTACCTGTATTATTTAATAATATATATTTAATAGTTGTATAATGTAGCTGGTAACGTCTTATAACCATTCTGATTGCTTATAACTTTTAAATAACTACAATAACATTCAGCAAAAAAGGATATGGGTTAGTGATCATGGCCAAACACCAATTTCGAGGCCTAGACTTTTGGTCCAAGTATTTCATCGATATGGACACGAACCCTGGATACGGTAGCTCTTCTTGCTGATTGTGTTCCGCTCCCATGCAGTCATCGTCATCATCTCTATCGTCTTCAGAGTCCTCACCGTCCTCTTCTTCTTCTTCCTCATCTTCATACGCTTCGACATCCAGGCTGCCGGGATAACCCGCTGTCACTACGGCCAAGTCCGAGTCCGAACTGCTTCTGGCCAACATCCCATGGTTGCAACTAGTTCGTCGGTAAATGCATTCCTCCACGCCGCCGACTGTTGAATGCCTCATCGCATAAATATTTCAATAGAAGGACCTGAATAAAAAACAATTTACACTTCATTATTTCCAAAATAAAACACAACATCTTGCAAATGACCATGTGAGGGGATCGAACAATTTATAACTATAGAGTACGTGTATAATACAGCGAATTTCCCACAATGGTGTAAACTATGCAWATATTATTTTTATTTTTCAATAATAATTTTATATTTGATTTTAGTGAATAAAAATTATCATTATGTAATATTTATTTGATTTTACGTTCCTTTAAACTGCATACACCGTGATTTGAACAAGAATGGCTTCACAGTGAATGCACACATTCTTAATATCTAAATAATACCTAGTATACCTACTATTATATATATATAATATTTAAGTCAGATTTCAAATACAGGGTGTCCCGCGAGGATTTACCCATTGCGATATCTCACGAAATAATGGAGATATCAAAATTCTGGTTTTATAATAACATTCATAGGGATATGAACTACAATTACTTCATTTTTAAATTTATTTTAATGTTTTTGTAAAAAATGTAAAAAATATATTTTTTTATTTAATTATTTCCAAAAATATTAAAGATAGCCATTTTTTAGAATTTATTTTTCTGAAAATATTGACGTTTCAATATTTTATTTTCATTAGTTTTCTGATTTTTAATATTTTTTCTAGTTTTGAAGAAATAAAATATGATTATAATTTATAACTATTAGGAACACGGAAGGTATTCGGCCGGCCGTATGGGAATGCGTGCGGCGCGGCGGGTCACATGTTTGATAACATTACGGTATTAAATAATTCAAAATTTTTCTCGAAACTAAAAAAAATATATAAAGTCAGGAAATTAATGAAAATAAAATTTTGAAACGTCAATATTTTCAGAAAAATAAACTCTACAAAATGGCTATCTTCAATTTTTTTGGAAATAATCAATAAAAAAATATATTTTTTAACTTTTTTACCAAAACATTAAAATCAGTTAAAATATAAAATAATAGTAGTTTTTATTCCTGTGTGTCTTATTACACAACCAGAATTTCGATATCACCATTATTTCGGGAGATATTGCAATGGGTAATCTTCACGGAACACCCTGTATATAATAACAYGAATTAATTTAAATGTTTAAAATAATAAATAGAAAATTTTGAATAAATAGCAAAAATAATTTGWTTCTGTATTTTCATTTCWAAACTAACCAATTAAAAACACAATATGAATGGCCTACCTAGTATTTATTTAAAAAATATGAAATTAGCTACATTATAATATAAGCACATCACTAAAGTACTAAACTATTAATTTTATTCCTTAGTTTAATCGTTTTATATATTATACAAATGAAAGATTTCAATAAATGTGGAATTTCCTTTTGTTTTTACTACGTATGAATTACAATTTACAACATTAAATTCAAATATATTCGAAAATCCAATATAAATTTAACTTAATTGTCTCAACGACACTCAGTTCCGTTAAAAAAAAAAGTTTTTGCTTAAAACTTTACAAACACAGTACAAAGGATACTAAACATTCAATATTTTTATAACTGAAAAATTGGATTTAGTTGAAATTCCAACTCAGAGTTCATTCTATAAAAGTTTATGAACAAATGAAAAATAAAATATTTTGTATTTCAATTTGAAACTAAGAAAAATATAATAACACCTGCAGATTTAACATTCCAGATGATAAATAATAAATACATTTTAATAACAAAACACAAAATAATGAACATTAATTATTTTATTTAGTGTCGTAAATGTATAATAATGTATTAATTCCCTAATAAATTGAAAKCTTATGCATGTATTGACATATATACATATTACATATGTATATTGAATACACATACCTACTTGGATGCGTCTAAGATAGAAAAATAGTATTTGGAAAAAAGACGAAGACTTACACGYTGTTAAATATTTAAATCATACAAACGTTTATTAAGATTTAACTTGGCAGCTTGAAATGTAATATGGTAATTATTTTATGGTGTCAGTTTTCGTATACGAAGTAAAACTTATTATTTGACTATGTATATAAGTATATAATAATAAAACAAAAATACTTCGCGTCTCACTTAATATATCTAAATAATAATTTATGTGCAGTTTAAAAAAATATYCAATGTTTTAATATTTTAGTCAAGGTAGATTTGTTATTAWCTTTTAGGCATCAAATTTGTATTTTTTATATAATATACAGCAACATTTCATAACATTTAGAATCATTTTATATATTGCCTAATTTATACCACATACATACTTACACCATTCTACGGCAAGTCGTAAGCGAGTAAATTGGCGTTGACTTAAAAAGCAATAACAGTATAATATGGAATATACTATATTAAAAAAATAAATATTATTAATAAAATAATCGCGATGTTTTCGACAAAAMCTTATTAAACTAATACCAATAGTAAAATAAATTGCTATAGTAGCAAGAAATATAAATTGATCATAAAATAAACTCAGTAATATTGAGTGACAGACCGTTTTAGCTCAAAATGGTTTTTGGTTTGCTGCGATGATTTATAAAATTGATTCAAATTTAACACATTATCCATTACAATGACGGACTGAATGAAGTTTAAGACTCAACAGATATTGTACTGCAGGGTGGTTATAATATACTTTCCTCCATTTTTTTTACCTRTGTTTGGGAGTAGGGCAATATAAATTGTAGTAGCGTTACTTTAAAGCGTTACCAAAGTACTCACCGTGCAAAGAAATGCTATAATCAAATAATTATTATCATTTGTCACCAAATATTTCAAATATAATAGAAATCTTAAGTTATAACGATATCTAGGTAGTTTTAAATACTATAATAATATATAATAAATTATAATCAATCAATTGTAATTTTAATTGTTAATTATAATATTGTTAAGACATATTATCATTAGGGTATTAAAATAGACAATAGTACGCTTCTTGCACATCAATTAAATAACAAGTACGCTCGACACTATTCTCATTAAAATTATTATATGGAAATATCGAATATAATATTCTGCTTAATATATTACCTATCTTGATACAAATATTTTCAATAAAATGGAGGTGTTTATTCGGTGTAAATTATTTTTTAAGATTCATATTTCATTAAAAAATCATGGTTATACATTATTTTATTATAAATATTAAAAAATATTAAATTAAACATCTTATTAATGCTATCCAATCTAACATAAAAATATAATTTTGAACATTTTTAATATTTTAAAATCTGAATACTTTCTTTTCAACAAATAAAAATTYAAAATTGCATATTTTATTAAATTTGAAAATAGTTATTTTTAAAAATAAATTCATCGTTATAATTACTATGAAATAATAGTATTTTTTAAAGCAATTACAAAATGGTCAATCACTCTGCTGACTAAACGAGCATCGCATAGAATTATTCTTGATGATCGAATCTGAATTTAAAAACTTGAAAAGTCCTAAAGAATTCTCAATTTAATTAAGTAATGGGAAATATAAGTATTCGGTTTAAGGACAGCGTCATAAACAGATAAAATCCGTTTGAAATATAACTGTCACAGACATAATAGTGATGTTTTCATATTAATGGATAAGTTTTCAAATAATGCGTATACTGAACAAACCAACATAACTATCTGGTGACTACCAAAGTCACAAGGGGTCACCTGCAAATCAGTATTATTTTATTATATTATATTGCCTTTGTATGACTCACATTTCGTGCTACAGTTATTTGTTAAAAAAATAAATTAGCCATGAATAGAGTGTAATTTAATTAATATTGTTTTATCTAACGTACATTGACCATCAAATCAAAGTAGGTAATCATATTATTGATGTATAAAATATTATATTATTATAATACACGTACGATCTATTTATACAGTATATATACACAAATATTTATTTCAATGTTTATATTTAACTACATAGGTAGTTCATGTTAAATACGATAAAAATATAACGACACTAGCTTTGTTACTTCATTCAAATWAGATACTTAATATTCAACTGTTATTACTGCAAGCATTATTTACGTATATCCGTTTATAATATAAACATCTACCTAATAGAAATCATTTATTATCTCGTTCGTAATTAAATTTTTATCAAAACTATCTAGATTTATTAAAGTGAATAATTACCATGAAAAATGTCATATTATATCTATTATGTGGATGATTTACAGTTATCTACTATTACAAAGTGATGTAGACAAATACCACTCTAGAGTAATTACTAATTAGATAGGAACTCTTTACCAAAATATATTGAGAATAAATACCTATTATATGATAGTTTTTATAATATTTTATTCTCTTTCTGAGTTGTTTAAATTATATGACCGGAAGTTTACCAAGTCTTCTCAGTAGGGCCCAGTATTTCATATGTATATTAATTTAAAATTAAAAAAAAAAAATGAATTTTAGACAACCTCTTTGACAATATTCCAGATCCTTATTATTTTTAATTTACTATACAATGTATTACATTAGATGTTAAACATCTTAAATATCGTCAAAATGTTAATCGCAAATTGCTTTATATACGCGATTAAGAAATACGATTGTGAACATAAATGTAAAAATATGTTTTAATATATTTTAATATTATGTATGGCATGCGTAGGATTTTTCAATGAGGAGGAGATTTCGGATGATAACGGAAAATTTACTTCGGATGAATTTAATATGCCTTAAACTTTATTTTCATATAAGTGAACACTATTGTTTAAATTGTCAAATAATTCTAAGCCGTCTATATTTATGTGAAGGGGTTTATTTGTGATTTCTGTATTAGTTTGAGAGGTTTTGGGACTTAAATTCGGTAAACTTGCTTCTTTTTTGACTTTTCCAAGATCAATTTTTTCAACTATTGATTTATTTATGATTTCTATGCGTTCCTCATTTCTCGGAGTATTTTCTACGTCGTCTGGGTTTAAAATACGTTTTATGAACCTACCAAGTGTAGATCTTAAATCGGATGATCTATTAATTTTTTTGATTCACAATATTTTATAAGATCTTCTTTT